CCCCCCCCCCTCAAAGTGTATCAGATATCTCGCCCCGACGACATACGATAGTTCAACACATTCTTTTTAACCCTCCCATAACTCCAAGTCCGAAGGAAAAAACTCCCACAATTCATCTCCCGAGTTTCTATATATTTTCTCTTAAGGATTTGTCATTCAGTTCGCTGAATTTCCGCATGAGAAACTGAGGGCGCCGCGAGCGCGGGACATTCGCGAACGATATAGCTATACATAACGAGATACATTTTGTCCAGCTGTATACCTGTATACAGCCAATGTAAGTATCCATGGGAGCGTCGGCATTTTATTAAACCACGTGGATCCCGACTCGCTGCTGTAATTCGTCAAGTGGTTCTGCACCGAGTGTCGTCGAGGGTGAAGTTTTGTACGAGGGTGACAGAAAAGCCTTAGGGAAAACACGACGAGTTTCCGTGATCACTTTACTTTATCGAGCGAGCATTCCTCGCGTTCCAGTCAAGAAAAGAAAAAAGATAGAGAAAGAACGATAAGAGATAGCAAAGACGTTAGTAGACGAGCGGACCGAGGGGAAGTGAAATGAAAAAAATAAAATAAGCACAGTGGGGTTAAGGAAAAGTAAGAATTTAAAATAAAATTATTTCTTAACCCCCCCACCAGCCAACGAACGAAGCACGTCATATTTCTTTTTTGGCATTTATAATTTCTATATTTATCACTGTGCATGTAATGTCAATGGAAAAAAAATACATAAATTTCCATAGATGCTGCAAGACTCGTTGTGGTTATTTGTTTTATTTATTTATTTTTTTCACGCAGTATATACCGTCGGATCTACGTCAGCCGTCTGGTTGCTCGTGTGTCAATCGTTGACATGGGACCCACTTTTTCTTAGACCTACGATATTGGCTTGCACTATACAATATATATATATATATCCTGACATAAGGTTAGTTAGCGATATGTATAATAATAAGGTTTTGTAATCTAAGACAGATTATGCGTCACGTTGAGCCACGCTTGGCACGTGAAGCTACTCAGATTCATTTCCTAAGAAGCACTGATAAATAATACGATTATATCTGAGGAATGATAAAAAAAATGTCAAAGGCGCTATTGGCGGGATTGCTAATATTATTAATTGAATAAAATGGTAAAAGCTTCGTGGAAAGATACTCGTGGTATTATAAGGGACGTATCAGTGGGGACTAAATCGAAGGGATGATAAAACGAGAAGAAAGACTAGATTACACTGGACGGAGACCAAGGGATGCTTAGAGGGAAAAGATGACTATTTACTTTTTAAATCAGACTCGAGGCTCTGCAGTAATAACAAAGTTCGTTGATAACCCGGAGCAAAAATTTGGTGAAGAAAATTCTCGTTAAATTAATATTACATATACACTTGTTTTTTCCTTTTCCTTTCATTAATGTTTAATGTCAATGTCTTGTACCCACCAAAAAAAGTGACGTTGCGTATCCTTTGTAGAAGGTGCTGCCCTCTCGGTGCCGGTTTCAGAGACTCGCAGAGACAGTGAACGGTGCCACGATTTCTCACGCACTCGTCTTCTATGAGATTGTGAACCGAGTGCGCCATTGCGTAGACTGCGTCGACTGAAAATAAAGAAATACATATATAATTGAAATACTAAAGAGCCTTTACGGTTTATCTTCTAGGGAAAGCTCGCTGTTGTCCTTTATCGAAAGGGCCTGAGATTTGTCGGACGAAAATTAAAAGGAGAACCGAAATTATAATTCCGTCCAAGTTCATAGGGATTAATTCGGTTAACGAGAAAAGTTACGTTGCAGAATCTATATTAAGGGATGAGGAAGGGGTTTAGTTTGGATTAACTGTTCGAGCTTTCGTGAAAGTGCGTCACTGTTGACACGTCACTTGAAATTTTCATCCGAACGGGACTGGGTGTATAATACGAAAAAAAATTTCGGGAATCATATTGATTTGAGTTTTTGTTTTTTAACCGACTCTTATATTGTCTCCGTAAGTACCTTCTGTATGCTCTCTCAGAAGCACCCCTTATAAGCAACGTCCGAGTGTGTGCCAAACCAGAGGACTGTTTAACAGGCTATGAATTATGGCTGTATTCATTTGTAATATTTAGTGGATTCAATGTGGAGGACACGTCGCTTCGTAATTGATCGTTTTCCTGTTTATTGCGTCGTAAAGACTTTCAGGGATATAGAGAGGGTGGGCGGGAGGGGTAGATTCGAAATTAATTAATTTCCTGGTTTCGCTCTGTCAATTTGAAGTTACACAAGGGGCTATGTTGCCATTCGCGCCCATAAAAGTTACTATGAATATTCAGCCTCCGGCGGGCACACAATTTTAAGGCTCTTTTTCTTCCAGAGAATTCAAATCGAATAAAAGGATGAAAAAGGGAGAAAGAAAAAAAAGGAAAACCGATTGAATCAGCCTGGAATAAAACGATGCTCGATATCAATGAAGATATTCGACCATCGATCGATAATCGAATATCGTCCGCCGTCGATTTCGATACAAGTCGAGCTCGCGAGGGGCGGAATGGAATCGTAAGATTTTACAGACGATTTCACAAGCGCGATGTCGAATCATGGCTTTTTCGTGGGTTTGCAAAAGGCCTTGAGGCAGCCTGTGGGATAAAAAATTGAAATGCTCCGTCGCCATTGTATTTTTATTTTTCCCAGCGCGAGTCTGTCGATTTAAAAAATTCGCCGCCGGGACGCAGCCAATGGACCGATGCAGTATCGATTATTGATCGATCGATCGGTAATACGAAGTGCTCTCGTGACGTTGACGTTTGTTATTTGAAATTCAAGCACCTTTCTTAAATGCCAATTCACATGCTATAATTCGTATACCATTGGCGCAGTCATTTTGAACGGTTCGTTTATAAAAATGAAATTGCCTTGCCAATTATTTTACTTGTTATTAATTCAATTAAATGGTACCGTATGTTTTCGAACGACTTGCTTGACCTTTTTTTTCTTTTAAGGGGTCACCCATTATGGAAGTTTTAGATGTTTTTTTTTTTTTTTTTTCACTTCACCCGTTACTTTGCCAATGAAGGTTTGGTTAGTAAATTAGTAGATGGGGAGGACGTAACGCGTGTTTCTCAGCAGATAAAAGGGTACTGAGTTGTAACATGGACGATGCTGGTAAATACTCCTTTAAGGGAGTAACGGCTGAAAAAGGATAAAGAAGAGGAAGAAGAGGAAGAAGGTACCGGGCTGTCCATCTATCTGACACCTACTATCTATCTGGCATCTATAATGCATTATTTATGTTACGTGGGTATCTATACTGTAGTTTCTGGTGAGCCTACTAAGCCACACAGTCATCGAGCCCAAAACTGACTGACCGGTCGATAAAAAGGTTTCTGGAGATTTAGGTTACTGGAGGACCCTAATTTGCCGGCCTTATCTTCACACCCTTGGGATTGAAGTAGTCGTCGCCTCGACTTCCGCCGGAAGTCGGGCCGAACGTTCAAGGTAAAAGGAACGTGACGAAAGTGGGTAATTCGGTAGCGGGGAATCACAGATTTCGGGGGAAAAAAGCGAAACGCTGTCTTGGGATTCTCAACGGAAAGCTTTAAACGTGTGTGGAGAGAGACAGAGGATTTTTTTTTTTCTTTTCGAAAAATTAAAACGGAGTAAATAAATAGCGCAAAATTTTTGAGAAGAAAATAACAAATGTTAATACATTATGCTGTTACAACATGGCCGCTCGTTTCTTCGTTTACAACCACCCCCGTAAGTGCTGTTTGAATTTTTCGTTAAAGAGGGAAAATTCAAAAAATACACAAAAGCGTCGATCGGTTAACTAACTGGAAGTATCCTTTCGGAGGTTGGCGTCTTTGAATGTGTTTGTGGCTTTTACGTTGGCAAGAAGAATCCTGGAAGATTTTGCCTGCGTATCGACGTATTTCGAGATGTAGATGTTAGGGGAGATGAGATCCGGGGGAAACGCTTACGACAGGCGGTAGCCTTTCAAAGTCGTATCAGAAGCCAGCCTTGTTATCTGATACCAGGAAAAAAAAAAGTTGTGACAGTTGAGTGCACATAGAGATTTTCACGTAAAAAAAAAAAAAAAAAAAAAAAAAACCAAAAAAAAAAAAAAAAAAAGACAGGAAAAAAAAAAGTTGTGACAGTTGAGTGCACATAGAGATTTTCACGTAAAAAAAAAAAAAAAAAAGAAAAAATACCAAAATAAAAAAAGACGAACTTATTCAATATTTAGCGGCTTCGTAAGAAAAGTTGATCTTTTTGTGATACCTGAACCGATAATTCCTTTTATCGACCCTGACGATTCCGCCTACGAAATTTCTCAAAATAGACACGGCGAAACGTATCCACTGGACCGAGGAAAATTCCGAGGACTGAAAACGAGCAAAAAGTAAAGGAAGGAACAAACAAACCATTCTCTTCCATTTTCCAATGCACTCCTCCGGTGCATGCAAAAGAAGACAAAGAGGGGGAAAACCCAGTCATGACTTCAACCCTTGATTGCCTGATTGCCTGATCAAATTAATTAATAGAAAATACGAACGCAGCTCTGCGCATGTATCAAAGGTAAAAACCCTTGAAGGTGGTTACTCTATTTCCTTTGATAATTTATTTCCACCCTTAACATGCAGAGGGTGGCCGAGTGACGATAACATCCCGAAGCAACCCTCCTTTGCGAGAGCATCTTTCTACGACGAATATTTATAACTTGCCGTGTTTTCCAGATGAAGGATAAGGGTGCCGGGGGAGAGGGGCCGGGAAAAAATGAGAACACCAGGTATGTAAGTCACCCCTGTGACCTCTTAAGATAATCGAGGGCGCATAGAAGGTCGTTGTGAAATAAGGGTGGAAAAAGTTTAGAGAAAAGGAATATGAAAAAAAAGATCCCACCAGAATCACCCCGTAACAAGGGTAGGTGTCACATTCTTAATTGCAACCCTCGTAAAAGCCAAGTGCAACCCTTACGCCCTTATATCTGCCGACGACGTTCTATCGCAAGGAAAACAACCAGTGGAGGGTGAAACACCCCCTGGAATCGGGTCTGAACCCCCAAGTATCCAGAGAGCCAAGAGCACCGTAGGCAGCAGCAGGCACCCCGTGTAATAACTATAAAACTTCAAATCCAGCCGAGGTTCGCGTACTCGTGCCACGAGCATAAGTCAGGGCCGTAGAGTGTAGGACGTGGAACCCTAGTGAATCGTTGCATCCCTTAAAAGCCAAGGTAGAGCGGAATATTCAGGTATAATTCAGAAACTCGGGTAATTTCGCAAGACAAACGATATAAGCCCTGAATACATAAGAACCCTTGAAAATGCAGGAGGAAAAAAAAAAATATATTTTTCACTCTTTCGTCCCTACTCGGGTGGTTAACCAAATAAAATTATTTCATCCCTTACCTCTTTTTTTTTTTCAGCCGCACCCCTTACGCGATAGAGCAAACCCGTTCGAGTAAATTTTTTTAATTTTTTTTTAAATCCTTTTGAATTTCCCGCCCCACCATCCCAATGACCACGTGATCGCACAAGCACGGGCTAATCTCATTTAACAAGAAGCGTCCGAAATTATCCTGCAGCGAGCGGATGAGACTTATGAATGGGGAATTTTAATCGACAGCCGCGAAACGTCACGATCCGACCATTTGTTGTCTCCGATTGCACCGTATCGTATCGCCGTAGCCGCCGGAAGTTAAGAGCGGAAAATTAAAGCGCCGGAAGCCGTTCACTTAACGAAGCTCGTATTTAATAAGCCAGCTTTGCTTAAGCCGAACGAATGACTCCGTCGGGGCTAATGTCAGTAAGGGCTCTCAGCCGCGAGGAATCCACAGCGGCCTGGTCCGCCATGAATTACAGTTTCTGAGTTCAAAATAATTACTTAAAGGGTTAGCAGGCATCGTTTATATATATATACACATGTATATATAACCAATCTCATTCAAATATACATATACAATATATATACATCCCAACAATCGCCAAAGGACTTTCAGCCAAGTATCGGTAACAAATTGTTCAGACGGCGTTGGATGTCAGATGCGATTCAAAAAGCGGAGTCCTTGCAAAGGAGTAAGAAGTGAAGGGGATGAAGAATAAAAAAAGAAAAAGGAAAATGGCGACTCTAGAAAGTGAGCGAAACGGGTGCGCGCACAGCACTTAAGCGCGACAGGCCGGATCATTTATTTTGCAGCAGAAAAGAGACGAGGAGGCTGGGGGGAGGGGAGGGGGGGGTGAAAGAGGAAGGAAGATGCAGGACGAAGGGGCACAGGTGAGAGGAGGAAAGAAAACGTGTAGACAGAAGTAGAGGAGAGTATGGTATCCCGCTGTGTCTCTGTGTCTGACCACTCCTGGTCTTATCTACTTGAGCCTCAAGCGTTGGAGGACCGCAGGTGATTTTCTTGATCAAAAGTGGAAAAGCGGGTTCGACGGTTGTCAACCCATAGCGTTTAAGTGTAAGAACCCTCGACCAACTGATTCCTCCATCCCCCAGCCAATCTCCCAGCATCCCTACTTATCCTTCATTTTATTTTTTTATCTCCACAACCCATCCGACTTTGGATCATTTCAAACCACGAGCCTCTGGACCCACGCAGATCCTGGCTTTTAATTACTCATCTCCCCCCCCCCC